AAAATGTAGCTTTCTGTAACCATAGTAAATACGCTTTCCTATATTGTTAAATTATAATGATTCATTGCATATAACTAATAAAAAGATAACATTATAACATTATAAATTTTGATGCCTAAGCGTGGAAGGTAACTGTTGCTAGGAACACAGTTTAATGAGGCCCATTCTCTCAAGTTGTTTGTGTTCCAGCAAGTGAATGTTTGTTAGAGGGGCAGGTGAGGCCTCAGCCATAGCTCTGTTCTCTTGTCTTGATTTTCACTTTTGCAGAGAGAAGCCTGGGAAAAACCTGTAGATGTGAACACTTTGCAGAGGTTCATTTTCTTACTATTCTCTGCACTCCAGCTTAATGGGCCATAATGGCAGAGCGATTTGTGACAATGGTTTTTAATTAATTGTCAGCAGACAGTTCAATTAAAATTCTTTTAATTTTCTAAGGGCTAAAGACTGAAACCCTCTTGACTATTAGGGGGGAGGTGACGCACTCTGTGTAGCCCTGGATGGCCTCAAACTCTGGATCTTCCCAGCAGCCACACACCTTCCACAAGGATTAGCTCCCCATTCAAGAGGGTTTCCTCGTTTTTCAACGTATCCAACTGTCCCTTTGACTGGCACCTTGGACAATGTTAATTCGACTTGGCCAGTGAGAAGTCTTTTCCGTTTGTGAGGAGGGAGAACTAAAGGGCATCTGCTAAGAAGGCACGGCCACCTAGGAAAGCACCCTGGAAGGACACTGGATGAGGGAGGGAGGGGCTGACGAACCGAAGATGGCCTGTGCTCAAGAATGATTCGGGTGATTTTGTGTACCTCCTGCGCCCCTAGGGTCTCACAGCTGGTCACTGGACAGCAACACCTGTGGTCTGTTTACAAACAGGCATCCGACACTGACAGGTGGCATGCATCTCTTACCTGCATTATTCCTCTTGAAGGCAAGTTCCGCCCCCATGGATCCCAACGACTTAGGAAATAGTTGACTATTCCAAGCCTGTGCGTTAATATCCTTGCCCCCGGCTACCAAAGACACGTTCTTGGGATTCACACCTAAAGAAAAAACAACGAAGCAGTCATGTTCAAAGTTAGAGTGTGACTGCGAATCCAAAGGAAGATGAATGCTGAGACACAGCCTAGACATCTTGGGGACCCGAGTCTACACATAAACGTAGGTTAGCTGAAGCACAGCCAAGGTTCGCTCCTTTCAGTGAACCCTATCATGATCCTGAGCCCTCACACAAGCCTGGAATACCGACAGCACACGCTTCACCACCTGAAGTATAAATAGCAATGAGCACTTTACCCTCCCATGAAATACCCCGTGGAAAGATAAGGAGGAACATTTTCCTGCAAAACCACCACGGTTCCATGTCCTTCACTTGCTTCAGATGCATACTTGGGCCAGATCCCTGATGAACAGTTGGCGGAGCAGGAAAGAAAGGCATGACCTGGGACACAGGGAAACCCAGGTTCTCACTACAGGCCATAGCAAATGCCTGCAGCTCACCACCACCTGGGGCTGAGAAGGATAAGGTACTGAAGATGCACTTGGGAGGAGGATGTTTTTTTCTGTTTTGTTTTGTTTTGTTTTGAGACAGGGTTTCTCTGCATAGTCCTGGCTGTCCTGGAACTCGCTTTGTAGACCGGACTGGCCTCGAACTCACAGAAATCTGCCTGTATGCCTCCCAAGTGCTGGGATTAAAGGTGTGTGCCGCCACCAACCAGGTGAGCAGGTTGGCTTTTACTATGTTCTTTGGAAGTCTGAAATGTCAGTTCTGTCTTGGGCTTTGGGCTAGTGGTCAAAGGGAGTCTTTGTAACTTCGGTGTAGGAGGTCTGAGCGCGTCCTGAGTTTGCTTGCATTAGCTTGATTATTGCTCAGCTGAACTGGGATGCTGACCGCTTTACACGGTCTATGCCTGTGGGTTTCAGCCTGGTGATGTCACGAGTTGATGTTGATGTCGTCACTAATGGAGTTAGCACAGTCCCCTGGTATGTGAGCTTCCCCACTCACACGCTGGCTTCCTTAGGAAGACTTCATGTGTATGAGACATAAATAGTGATTCTTTTGAAACCAGAGCTATGGAACTTGAAGAGCCCATTATGGCTTCTCTGAGGAAGCACTAGTTGAGTAAATAGCTTCTCTGTCTTACAAGATTAATCCCTGTGGATCCAGCTTCTGGTGAACACTTACAAATGGAGCTATAATTGATAGTTATCTGCAAACTATTGCATGTATTGCAGTACATGAAAGGGGAGGGGAACATTTGAGGAAAAGGACAGGGCTGGCAGGAAGGAACAGTAGCAAGGAAAGGTGAGGAAGAAGCAAGTCTGAGCAAAGCCAGCCTTAGACACGTATGACCATGTCATAATTGTATATTTTATACAAACTAAAAGAAATTAAGATTAAAAAGGAAGGCGCACTATGATATAATTTCTTGTATTAAAATGTTTACTCAGCCAGGCATGGTGGCCCATGCCTTTAATCCCAGCACTCAGGAGGCAAAGGCAGACAGATCTCTATGACTTTGAGGCTAGCTTGGCCTACAAAGAGAGTTCTAGGATAGCTAGAATTGTTACACAGAGAACCCCCCCTCAAAAAAATTACTTCAAAGGAGGTGTGGTCCTGGGGAGGTGGCTGGGCAGGTACTCTCAGTACAAATGTGAGGACCTGAATTGGGTCCCCAGCACCAAGGTAAAGGCCTGCAGCAGTGGCTTACCAGCTAAAATTTTGGCATCTTACTCTGGCGGTGGCTCCGTGGAGTCTCCCTGACTCTGCCCACCCTTCTTTCTCCCAGCATTCAGTCCAGCTTTCCCTGCCTACCTAAGTTCTGCCTTGCTATAGGTCCAAAGCAGTTCTTTATTCATTAATGGTAATTACATCACACAGAGGGGACTCCCACATCAAGGTGACTCTTTTAATTCATTGGATAGTAGAGCCAAACTTCTTAGAAAAATATGGTCCCAAGAAGGCTGATAACAGAAGTAACTGACTCTTCTTTTAAAAAAGCAATTTTGGGCCAGTAAGATGGCCCAGTGGGTAAAGGTGCTTGTCGAGTAAGCTGGGAGAGCTGAAGCTGATCTAGGTGGAAGGAGGGAACCTACGCATGCGCACACTCTAAAAAAAAATCACACTAATAGTGCGGAAAGCTATTTTAAGCTAAACCACAATCACAACCAGGTTTGGTGCCATGCTCCTGAGTGAGGCTTCCAGGTCAGCCAAGGATCTAACCGGGGAGAGAGCTAAGAGATGCGCAGTCCGGAGGCAGCAAGGACAGAGTGATGGAGAGGGAGCAGGTTCTGTGGCCTGTGTTAAAAGGTATCAAGGGGGGCAACACAGGAAAGTCGAAGGGCACAGAATTAACAGGCTCCGCGGGAGGATGGCGCGTGAACAGTGGGAGAGAGAAGGTTCTGCGGGACAGGATTTCAAAAGTGCTATGGATGAGTCTTTCTGATGTCCAGCCATGGAGACACTGGCTCCTGCACCGGGTCTTAGTTTCAGGGTGAGATCAGAGGACATCACTGAGAGACAAAGCGTTAGCGTTCCCCCCCCCCCCCCCCCATACTTTTGCCTTTCAGTAAGGGAGGACCTAAGGCTTACAGAGTGAGAGATCACCAGAGGGCGCTAAATTTCAGTCATTGAAATGCCAAGTGTGTGTGTGTGTGTGTGTGTGTGTGTGTGTGTGTGTGTGTGTGTGTGTATTTCTTTTCTGTTCATTTTTCATTTTGGTTGTTTGAGACAGGGTTTTCCTGTGTAGCCCTGGCTGTCCTGGAACTCACCCTGTAGGCCAGGCACCCACCTGTCTCTGCCCCCAAATGCTGGGGTTAAAGGCATGTGACACCACCACCCCACTTTTTCCAATGGGGAGCATTCCCCGGGAGTCTGTTCTGGAATGCCCATTGCCTCCGTGCCTTTACTGTTGGCCTGGGACACTCATGGTTCCAGCACCAAGCTTTACAAAGCTGCTAGCACTGAGGATTCCAGTGCTGTGCTGCTCTCCAAGGCAACAAACCCCAGCGCTTGCACTTCGTCCCGGCTCCTCTCACTTTCTGAAGGACTTCAGCCCCCATTCATCCCCTCCTCTTCTCCCCCATCATCAGTTTCTACATTTGCAAGGGATCACATCCTCCTACACACGCAAACCTACTCTTTCGTTGTGTTTAGGATCTTCACCCAGGCTCAGCTACCAGCAAGACCCATGGCTCACCCTCACATCCACATCACGCCCGCTTCTCCCTCTGCTGCCTCTGCTGCAGACACAGGCAATAGCATTCTGACAAGTCTCTCCATCTGTTTGGGCCTCTAGCCTGTTCTTCCTAGCGGCTGGGAGAAGCTTGTAAGCACACACAACACATCGTTTGGGAAACAATACTTTTTTAAAATTTATGTTTCGTAAAAACTTGCGATGAGGGTGCCCAATTGCTTTAATAAAATTGAGCACGTACTAAATAAATGGACGGCTTTGGTTGGAGAGGCTTTGGGGAAGCAGACGTATCATTTGGTGTTCTGTGTTTTTTCTCTCCTTCTCTCTTTTTTCTTGATGGTGCTGGGGGCTGGGTATAGAAGCTGGGCCTGGGCATAGTAGGCGAGTGTGCTGCCACTGCCCAGCTCCCAGCTGTGTATTCCTTGAACAGACTTAACTTCCATTGGTCACAGAGACAGGAAGCTCATGGCAGTAGGCACAGCTGTCAGAGAGTCCTGGGACTCTGCTTTCTCCTTCCCTGGCCCCTCTTTTCAGAGATACCAGGACCCTTTACCCTATCAAGACTCTGATGAACATTAACCCTTTGTGTTGTTTTGGACCAGGGTATCAGACAGCTCAGGCTGGCCTGGGATCCCTAATACTCCTGCTCCTGCCTTCTGAGTGCTGGGATTGAGTGGTAAATATTAAGTAGTCAATTTTCTCCACTTACCTGGGAGGTATCTTGATTGTTTCAAATAGTACTGCTTAGCAGTTGAAGCGGTTGACAAGTTTGTATCGGACTTCAGGGAAACAGCCGGGTGTAAACTCCTATTTTCCCCCTTGGAGTGGGTGGAGCCTGGGGGTCCCGACTCTGGGAGCCTTGAAAGTCAACACAACACAGCAGTCACAGCGTGAAAACCAGCAGACCTCCCCACCTCCTTCAGTGACTCGAATGAGATGATGCCAAACCACGAGGCCTTTTGCTGTCAGGACTGCTAAGTGATAATTCCCTCCATATCTCTGTCAGCACAGGGGTCATAGCTGACGTTGGACGAGATGTGGCAGAGCCTCTATAGCAGTTTGTGGGTCTGTAATCCAGTTTGCCTCTTCTGGAATTGCTGCAGTCGTGGATTAATAAGGTTGAAGACCACATGGCAGCCATGGCCATCTCTGCCTCCTACCAAAGTTGTTTCTATCTAGGAAGGTTGTTTAAGGCAGGACACTGGCCACCTCTTCTGGGGGAGCTCTAGACACAGGCAGCATTGTTTTATTGGAGGTGGACCACCATTTCTGGCTTCTTTCCCTCTTATTCCACTATAGTTTAACTACTTATGGAAGGTCTACTCATGCTTTGTCCTCCCCCCCCCCACCTCTCCCAGGGGATTAAACTCAGGCTCTAGTACCTAGAAGGCAAACACTCTACACTGAGTTACACCCAGTCCCTCTCTCACTTAGAGACAGGATTGCCCAGGTTGGCCTTGAACTTGTGGTCCTTACCCTCTGGAGTAGCTGGAACTACAGTGTGTACTATATGGAGGCTGGCTCTGTGTGTGTGTGTGTGTGTGTGTGTGTGTGTGTGTGTGTGTGTGTTGTTATTTTAAGATGTGGCTTTTTGACCTTGAAGTTCTGATCCCTGACACCCTTGTCCCACTTCCAAGTGTTGGAATTAGAGGTATGTGTCATCATGCCTGTTTTTGTTTGGTTTCATTGTTGTTATTGTTTTGGCCTCTTTTATGGGATGGTTCTTTGTTGTTTTGTTTCTTTTTTTGAGACCAATCTATAGTTATATAGATTATATAGTTATATAATCCAGGCTGGTCTCGAACTTTTGTATCTTTCTTCCTCAGGTTCCAGCGTAGCTGGGACTACAGGTGTCAGCAAAATGTCTTCCTCTAGGTTTTCTCCTTAGAAGAAGGATGTATACGGAGCTCCAGCCGAGCCTCTGGAGTGGCCTATGCCGGGCTTCTCACTTCTGCCTTTTCTAGCACCTCAGAATTCCATCCGAGGACCGCACAAAACCTATGGTGGCAGAGTAGAGTAACTTGACCTAGTGGGACTGAATGGAGTTCTTCCCAAGTTCCAGTGCTGTAGGGAAGAAAACGTGTGAGTCTAGACTGGGAACCAGAGGAATCTATGCATGTGCACCCTTGACAGCCTCTGTGTGTCTTCAGAGGGATGACCACCCGTGTCTGCACTATGCAATACCAACATTCCTCACTTGTGACATGGCTGTCCCTTTTACTGCTTCTGTTCCAGGCAGAAAAGAAAATGAAAGTACGTTCCCAAGATGTTCACCACAATTTAGCCCACCCTGATCAGAGCTGAATAATGCCCGGATGACGACCTAAGCCCTGAAGACAAGGACCCACTGGACACTGAACTTGCAGGAAAAGGTCAGAAAATGAGTTTCAAATGTTTGAACAGGAAGCAATCTAATAATTAACCCTAAACATCATCAGAGGAAACCATTAACTATGCATGTGATTCTCTGCATTCTGTACACAGAAATGTGACCTTTAGGTGGGGATAAAGGCGGTCACAAGTCACTAGAGTGAGCTGGGTGTGACTGGTTTGTACCTGTGGTCTGTGGTCTGAGCTATTCCGGGAGATAGGGTGGGAGGAGTACTCCAGTCTGTAAGTCTGAGACCTGCCTGGGCAACATAGCTAGACACTGTCTCAAATAAATAAATAAATAAATAAGGAAGAAAGGAAAGAAGGAAGAAAGAAAGAAAAAGAAAAAGAGAAAACCCACAAAAAAAAAACAATATAAAGGCCAAAAACCAACTTTGCCCTACACACACATGTACACACAGCACTAATTCATGACTGTGAAAGTCAAGATCCTCACCTTTCTGGAGGTATCAATAAAGATTTCCGGGGTTTGTAGAGGAAAGTATTCATCTTTGTCACTGCATTAATGGGTGAAATAAAGTTGATGCGTGATAAAAATACATTTCTCTGGGGAATGTGCAATTTTACCTAAATGAAGTCTCTTTCTTCTTTTCCTTGAAGGCGCTCATGCTCGGCTTTTTGGAATGGGAGGCTCCGAAGTCGTAGTCCTCAAAGTCGTCACAGCTGTCTCCAGACTTGAAGACCGTCTGGCCCCAGCGTCTCCGAGCTCCTTTATGGCCCAGTGTGCTGACTGACTTCTGTGGTAAAAAAGGATGAGCCACCAAAGTCCTAAATTATCTAAGATTTGCACAAGCAATTGGACATCAAGTGTCTCAATTCTCAGCCACCCTTCCCTTTACAGTTACATGTCCCTTAAGGACAGGACATGTCCTGAGAAATGCATCCACGGGTAACTGTCATTGTGCGGACATCATAGAATGTACTTACAGAAACCTAGGTGCTCTGCTCCGCCACGCAGCTCTTAATTCACAGGCAACAAATGTGTTCCAAATGTATTATACTGAGTACTGCTGGGAACTGTGGGGGATGGTTACTACTCGTGTGTCTAGGCATACGTAAACATAGACAAGGTACTGCGAAGAGGCTGGGGATATAGGTTAGCGGTAGAGCACATCTGTAGCACACACAAGGGCCCAGATCCAACCCAGCTACCTGGTAACCGCCCCCCCCCCCCCACATACACAAATAGATAGAAGCAGCTAACTACATCCATTCAGGAGCAGAAAGAGAATAAACCGTGCACACCTACACCTACAAGCTCAGCTTGCTTCCTCCTTTTCAATACAGTACAGGACCCCAAACCAAGGAACAGTGCCACCTAGTCTCAGGCTGGCTCTTCCTGCCTCAATGAATATAATGACAATAATTCCCCACAGACATACGTGCAGGCCAACCTGATCTAGGCAGTCTCTCAATTGAGACTCTCGGCCCAGTTGATTGTATAATACTGACAATTAAAACTAGCCACCACCCTGTACTAGAGGTCTGAGGTTCTGGGGTGACCCTTCATAGACAGAATAATCTAGAAAACCGGGATGTAGTTGTGAGCCTTCCTGCCCTTCTCATTAAGTGGAAGTAGCCTTATGGAGCACCCTGAGGTTGTCATGTCCCTGTGTCTTTCAGCAATGACTTTTAAAGCTAGGGCCTCTGAGATGGCTGGGGTGGGCTGGGATGTAAGTCACTTGCTGAAAAGCCTGACAACCCAAGTTTCATTCCGGGGACTGCAGGAAGGAAAGAGAACAGATGCCTGTGGGTTGCCCTGGGAACTCCACAAGCGCCCCTCCCCAAGAAATAAATAAATAAATACGTGTATTAAAATCTTAAAAATTAAGTCTAATTATCTTTGAATAGCATTCTATTAATGGAGATAAGGAACGAGGAAGAAGTTGCAGCTTAGGACAGACAGTAAGCTGCTCTCCTAGAGACTGATAGAGTGACACGTGACCTGTCAACTGAAAAACACAAAAGCAGCTCAAAATAAGGAGTGGAGTGTGGAAGGAAGGCTGGCTGAGCCACGGCATGAGGATGCTGGAAGAATGGCCCACAAGTGCGCAGAGCTGGTGACATCTGGATGGGCAACGGCAGGAACTGGTCCCTGCCAACCTCTGCACCGTCATTTACTCAGCCAGGAGGAACACTTTCCAAACCAATCAGAATGAAAAGATCCACGGAGTCCACACAGCTGGGTCTGGACCATCCTCAGCTGGACTGCCTGTTAGTGTGAAGCTGAATGCTGACCCCTGCCGAGCCACGTCAGTAAGTACAGAGTGACCCTGCACGTTTGGGAAGACTAGAAGGGGGCAGATATAAGTAAGGCTTTTAAAAAAGGAAGAGAAATTTTGCAATCCTTGTCAATGCTTTGTCATAGGATGAGGGTAAAAATTCTAGGAAGCTGGTGGGTCATATAAGCCGCCATTTCTTAGAGAGCAGTGACTCCTTCAGATGTGGTAGGAAGTACACGCGAGCACCGGTCAAACTGGTGTCACGAGTTGTCACACTCCCCTCAACAATGAAGCAAATAGAGGCCAGTGAATGTGGATCATTATGTAGTTTAATAATTTAACGAGCGATCAGCAGATTGATGCCAGCCTAGAAGGTTCTCTCGCTGCTGTCCGAGAGCATCCTGCTTTTCTGTTCATCATGTGGATACAGGACAAGATACAGACAACTAAGTAAATCCACAGACGTCAGGACTGTTAAACCCCGGATCCAAAATAAGGATTGCCAGAATAAGATGGTTTGGGGGTAACTGGGCTTTTAAACTCTTTCAGCCCTAGAGATGGACTATGCAAGACGAAGTGCAGAACATGCGATCTGCTGAAACATCTAGTAACAAAACAGACTCAGAGATTTTCATGGGAGGAACATTCCATCACAGTTCTGGGTACGTTAGCTATATAAAGATGAAGGGTTAGTTGTTAGGTGCTATAACTTGGTGAATATGCCCAGGGGCTGAACACAGTGTACAGTTCTTAGACACTGCTCGATTAAATACAAACTTTTCTTTCCTCTCAGTGTGCACCAGCATCTGGTGACGTTCTGAAGGGGGAAGAGGAAACGCAACCCTCAGTGACCGGAATGGCCCTTCAGTTTTGGGAGGTTGGAAGCCATTTTTCCTGCTTTACCCTCCCTGGTATGTCTGTCTGTCTCTTGTTCAGGAAGCTCCATTCTCAGTGGCCAGCAGAATGAGGAAGGGGGTTGGAAGCCTGTCAGAACAAAAGTCAGAGGGACTTGGGGATGTTTCACCCAGAGGGCAGATGATACAGGGCTGTTTTCAAATTTCTGCAGGGCTGCCTTTCCGGAAGAATGATATCTTCTATTATACAGCACAGAGAACCACATTCTCCCTTCTGTTACAGGCCATGGAGTCTCCTATTCTAGCCACAGAGAACCACAGTCTCTAATATTCAGAGCTGGATGGAGACTCTTCTGGACCCTGGAGGCTCTTCATTTATTCAGTAAATATTAAAATTTTTCCCATAGTAGGCACTTTCTAGACTCTGATAAGCAAATTGGACATATTTCTGATGTCACAGAGCTTGCACTCCAGTAGAAGGGAAAATGCTCTACAACAATACTAGAAACATGAATTAGTGCCTCCTTAGGATGGGTTTGGTATTAGTGTGAGATGGGAGGGCTCATATTAAGATGGTGAGAGCTGGGGATGGACCAGGAATTAGATACAATATTTGAAAAGATCTGTGCAGGAAGCAGTCCAAGACTAATAGTCAGCCCTGAAAACATAAACATACAGGTACAGACTGCATAGGTTGTATTTATATATTTCTGAATATGCACACACACATATACACACACCAATAATGAAAAAGAGGCTATGATTTTAAAATAGAATAAGAAGGGTACATGCGAGGGTTTGGAGGGAGGGAAGTAAAGGAGAAAATTATGTAATCATAGCATAACCTCAAAGATTAAAAATAAATAAAAATAATGTTCTTTAAACCTTCTAGTCTGCTTGTGTTCATTATCAGTAAAACACAGTATGAAATTCTTTGGAAAATGTTCAATATTTAGGATCAGTGCTCTAGAGTGTCCAATTCCTTCTATGAATTCTTAAAAGAAGCTTGCAGCATACAAATGTCACTCCTTTATCCTGGACATTTCTCCTCATCATCTTAAAATATTACCTATCTCTTGCTGAATCTCAACCAAGGAAATCAGGGACTTGGACTTGGGACAAACTCCATAATTCTCCATAGTTAGAATTGCATCAATAATTTAATGTGTGGTTTCTGGCCACTTCCTACCCAAACTGCACCAGGCCATGCCAGCTAAGAGATCCTTCCTGGCTACTCACCATGGGCATGGTTTTGATGATACTTGGAAACATCGTTTGTGGTGGTTTCTGGTGACCCTGCTGCTTTGGAGGTGGCTGGATCACTGTGTTTTGTGGTAGTTGAATAGGCTGCAGTGGTTGGTGGCCCTGCTTTGGTTGGGGCTGCCCGGCAGGCTGATCAAGTATGTTTGGCAAAGGCTTAGGATCCCGTTCAGAGAAAGATGGCTTTGGTTCCAGTGGCTGCAGCTGCTTGTTTAAAGTCTGTTTTGCATCCTGATGGTGTGCGGAAGGGCCCAGTACCTGACCGACTTGAAAATATGGGTGTTTCAATGCCTGGAAAAGCAAGAAAATACCATGATCACATCACAGCGATGTTTAGCTAATCAGAATATTTCCAAGTTTAAATTGTGTGCATTCTTAAGGCAGGGCAGAGCGTCATTATTAACAATGATTTTCTTGGTCAAGGTTCTGGGTATTGAACCCATGGCCTTATACGCTAACCATGAACTCTGTATTAAGGAGAGCCAAGCAAGTAGGATCTCTGTAGGAAACACACGGCTGGACAATGCCGAGAACATTGACAACAGAGGACAAACTTCCCTGGAGAAAGTCCGCCTCCTGCAACTGAAGCACACAGCTAAAACACAGGTGCACGTTCTTCGGGTTTTGTCCTGTCTTTTAAAATAAACTATCGGCAAGGTGAACATGTTGAAAGTTTTCTCTAGCCCAGTTATAAATGACTCCACGTGGGTGCTAGGGGTTGACCTCAGGACATCAGTAAGTACCCGGATCTGCTGACCCATCTTGTCGGCCCCTCTTCCACTGCTTTTGTAGCCACATTTTTCTCATCGTGGTATCAAGTATTTATACACACCTCCTGTGGGTTTTTAAGTAGTCATGCGCAGTCTCTTGTGATCTCTTCCTATGTCAGGACTGTTGCTATGGTGATTGCGTCACAGGGCCTTTTACGATCTCACTGCTCTCTTATTCCCTGCCTGTGTTCAGATTTGCCTGGGTTAATCTTTCTCTTTCATTTTTGTTATTTAGTGATTCATTTATTTTTACTTTATGTGTACTGATGTTTTGCTTGCATGTATGACTGTGTTGGATCTCCTAGAACTGGAGTTACGGACAGTTGTGAGCTGCCACGTGGGTGCTGGGAATTGAACCTTGGTCCTCTGAAAGAGTAGCCAATGCTCTTCACCACTGAGCCATCTCTACAGCTTCCTCTCTCTCTCTCTCTCTCTTTCTCTCTCTCTCTCTCTCTCTCTCTCTCTCTCTCTCTCTCTCTCTCTCTGTTTTCATATCTAGTTTTTAGAAAACACATAAGTTAATTCTTTTTAAAAGTGTGGGGGGGCAATTTGTACATGGAATTTATACTAAATTTAAAGAATATAATAAAATTCAACATCTTGTTTTGGGTAGTTGTTAAGCCTCTGGCAAATAAAGGGATGGTATTTTAAAGGCCCTGAGATTTGCGACACACAGTGCCACAATGCTGCTGTCTTGTGGAAGTCAGGGGTTAAACCCCCATTACTGTAGTCCGATTTCTTGATGTACACCGAAAACAAGAATCCCGCTCCTCAACCAAAGAGTTCCCTGAGCAGGCATCTGCCCACCTCACAGATCACACCACACGGGATTATCGTCAGTGGTCAGTGGTGGCCCCCTTCTGGCTCGTTGGGACCATGACACCATCACGCAGTGGCTGCGCTTGCAATGTGCTCCAAACCCGCCCACCCCTCCTGCTTTGCTGCACACCGTGGTCATCTAGGGCTTCAGTGCTTATTCATCTTGGTAAAACACGGGTTGAGAATCGATGCCTTTGTAAAATTGCAAAACTTCACAAATTAAGAGGTTGGAGGGATGGCTCAGTAGTTAATTAAGAACACTTGCTGCTCTCCCGAAAGCCCTGGTTTTGGTTCCCAGCCCATGCTGTGGAGTAGATAATTACTTTAATGATGTAAAGATGTGCTACTTTTGTTTACGCTACATTTGCTTCATTATGTAAATGATATGGGAGTCTTCTGTTTTGTGTTGATTTCATTGGTTAAATAAAGAAACTGCCTTGGCTCTTTGATAGGGACAAAAATTAGGTAGGCGGAAAAAACAGAACAGAATGCTGGGAGAAAGAAGCCGAGTCAGGCAGTCGCCATGATTCTCCTACTCCAGACAGACACAGGTCTTTCCTGGTAAGCCAGCTCGTGATGCTACACAAAATATTAGATATGGGTTAGCTCAATATGTAAGAGTTAGCCAATAAGAGATTATAACTAATGGGCCAGACAATGTTCAAAAAAATACAGTGTCCGTGTAATTATTTCAGGGCATAAGTAGCCAGGTGGCTGGGAGCCGGGCAGAACACAGCCCGCTCCTATTACAACATGTAAAGATGTGTTACTGTTTTTACCTTCCCTGCCTAAGACACCTGATTAAAAAGGTGTCTAATAAAAAGCTGAATTTCCAATGGCAGTAGAGGGATAGGTGGATTTGGAGGGCAGAGAGAATAAGTAGGAGGAGGAATCTGGGGGGGGGGGGGGGAGAGAGAGACAGTTGCCAGCCAGATAGACAGAAGCAGGAACAGTAGAGCATACAGCACAAGAGAGAGGTAGAAAATCCCGAGGCAAAATGTAGATCAAGAGAAACAGGTTAATATAAATTATAAGAGCTAGCAGGACAAGTATAAGATAAGGCCAAGCATTCATAACCAATAGTAAGTCTCCGTGTCACGATTTGGGCGCTGGTTGGTGGTCCAAGAAAAAGCCTGCTCCTAGTCCCTACATAAGTGGCTCACAACCCTCTACAGCTCCAGTTTCAGGGGATCCGATGCCCTCTTCTGGCCTCTGTAGGCTCCTATACACATGTAGTACACTCCATATACTGAGGCACACACACATACACATAAAATAGATAATTTTTAATAATCCTCACGACTGTAAAAAGCTGTCCCTGGGAGGACTGCCTCACCTGGCTTGCGGTTGGTCGTTTCTTTGGATCCCAGCTCAACATTTCTGTCATGAGCTGGATAGCCTCGCTGCTGGCATTGGGGATGAGAGTTTTGAGGTTTATAGGAATGCACTGGGGAAAGCGGAAATTCATGGAGGATGCAAGTTGGTACCCTTCTGGCCAATCACTCTGTTTAAGGATATACACAAAGAGAAAATGGATTTTTGTAATTAATATAAAAACACAGGAGTGACAAAGAAACCATTCATGTGGGGAAAACTTCACTGCTGAGTGAGATAAACAAATGTACAAATAAAATACCAGACCCTATGCCTTATGGAAATGACATTGAACTGAGAGGAGGTAAAACTGAAAGATTACATCTACAGATTTCAAAATATCAAACTCTTTCTGGCTTTCAGTCTCAGTGACAACTTGGTGGCTGAACAAATAAAGATAGAAGCTTTGCAAAGAGGCCTCAACCTGTGGAGACCCCACCACCCAACAGAGCAAACCCAACATTAAAGCACTTAGAGTTGGGAAATGGCCGTCAACCTCACGCCCTAGCATCTATACTGACCTGTCTACTGAGAGGCCAGGGCTGGCTTCACTAAGCTACACAAACACGTTATATTTATTAACTGCATCTTAGATGATAAGGTCTACCCGAAAGGCAACAGCCATGGAGAGGTACTCAGAATTCAGTAGCGACCGAAATGGAAACCACAAAAAGGCTAAGAGAAAATAAGGTCTCGGGTCCCAGGGCTTAGTGAAGGGGTGAAGGGCACCCACAGAATGAGCAGGACAGTCTTAGCGGGCAATCTTGGAGTCGTGAACATCAGCCCAAACTGAAGATCTAGACAGACTCTCCCTGTTCGTGTCTTATGGAAAAACAAACACCTTTTCTTCCTTCAAATCTGGTGGGATTCTGACTTCTTCCAATCCTTATTGTTACTCAATTAAAAAAAATTGTAAGAAAGCTATTAAAGTATGAAATTATTTGAAACTGAAAATATCTCATATCTCTGCTAAAGTGAGAAACAGTTAGTCATAAAACAAAAAAGTAAAGTAGCAAGTGAGGGGTCCCCAAAGGACAACAAGGAGAATACTTACTTTCTTGGGAGTCCCTAACACTTGGCAAATTTTAAATATTTCGTCAACCTCACTTGTCCCTGGGAAAAGCGGTCTAAATGTATATAGCTCGGCCATTATACTTCCCACGGCCCACACGTCAATGGGGGAGCTGTACACCGAAGATCTTAGTAAAACCTCAGGAGCACGATACCTGTGAAAACAGAAAACAGAGTTGGGAAAGCGGTTTCCAGGGTAACGTCACAGGTGGATGGGCAGCAGGGGTCAGCTGCTCGCTCATAGCTTCCAGCAAGGCCCAAGGACAAAGTGCCTTCTGTGTCCGAGGGACTTGCGTGACACCTACTTCCTGACAGGCGACAAATGTAGGGGAAAGTCCGTGCGGCTTGAGGTGGGTCTTCATATGGATAATCGGGAAGGTGAGTGCTCTCTGAGTTATCTGGGGAGAACCATGGACAAAACCATCAGGTGTTCATGTGCCCACAGGTAGGTCAGGAGAGGAAAAGTGGAAGGGTTGTCCTTGAATAGTGGATTTCCTTCCCTTTTAAAATATCTGGGGGGCTGGAGAGATGGCTCAGTGGTTAAGAGCATTGCCTGCTCTTCCAAAGGTTCTGAGTTCAATTCCCGGCAGCCACATGGTGGCTCATAGCCATCTGTAATGAGGTCTGGTGCAGAGTATTGTGTACATAATAAATAAATAAATAAATCTTTTAAAAAAAAATAATTTTCATGCATTTCTAAATAACATAGCTCTCAAGAGGAGAGAGTTGAGAAAGAAACCCTGGAGAACATTTAGGCACAGTT